TAAGGATCAACTTCGTGTACAGAAAATTATTTTGGAAGAGGCTAAAACATATCACCGCAACCTCTCCATGTGCTGGATTGACTACAAAAAAGCATACGACTCTGTCCCTCACGAGTAAATTCTGAAGTCTACTTGATTTACTCAAGTCTTTAATGAGTTGCTGGTCGACTCAACTTGAGATGTACTCGCAAGGGCAGGTGCAGACTTCAGAACCTATTCCAATCAGAAGGGGGATTTTCCAGGGGTACTCCTTCAGTCCTTTGCTTTTTTGTTTGTCTCTAAATCCTTTGAGCTTTCTGCTCAACAGAGAGGAGGGTTACCATCCTTGACCTCCTCAAAACAGATCCCCAACACCGCTTACTCATCTCCTTTACATGGATGACATCGAGCTCCTTGCCAAAGGAGATACCAATTTGAAAGAGCAGGTTCTCCTTGTCGAGTCCTTTTCTAATGATATTGGCATGACATTTGGACTCAACAAATGTAATACTCTTCATTTGAAACGTGGCAAGGTAGTTAATGGTGGATTGGTCAAGTTACAGGGGGGAGGAGTTATTGAGCATCTTGTGGAAGATCAGGCCTACACCTATCTTGGAATGCAAGTTCGAGACAAGCTCCAGAATGACCACATACATGACAAATTTCGGGCCGAATATAAAGCTCGCTTAAAGAAAATCTGGAGCTCAGAACGTAATGCTCGAAACAAGGTCAAAGCCATCAATACTTTTGCTGTGCCAGTCCTTTCCTATTCCTTTGGAGTAGTTGATTGGACAAAACAAGACATCCAAAGTCTCGACCGTCTGACCATATTTAATGTGTACTTTTGCACATATTTATTTCTGGGATGATCCTTTGGTGATAAATGTCAAGACTCATGATAATAAAGCAAGGACTATTTTAAACGTGCCAAGGTTGTTGGACAGAATCTGAAATTTGAGGTTGATTTTGCTTATGGCGATGTACTGCTGGACGGTACAGTGATGGGAGTAAACCAGGTGAAGTCATTCACCAAGGCTGCTCAGAGTCGGTCATTTGTGGAAAAGCTTTCTGAGAAACCATTGCATTGTGTGTACATGCAGTGCATGGAACAGAAAAGCAATCCAAACGACTCCTTCGCCTGGATGAAGTCAGCTGGTCTTAAATGTGAAACTGAGGGCTTCCTTTTTGCTGCTTAGGACCAATCACTTCCAACTCGCAATCGCCTAAATGTGATTCTCAAAGAAAACATTAACATGAAATGTCGACTGTGTAATGAATTTACAGAGACCGTCCAACACCTTGTCAGTGGATGCCCTTCCTTGGCACAAGCAGCATATCTTAAGAGACATGATGGCATGGCTCGCTTCTTTTTTTCTTTCATTCCTGTGGCTTCGACTCTGAGGTCCATCCATGGTACAAGCCTGAACATGTCCAGGGCGTCATGGAAAATGATGCTTTCAAACTTCTTTGGAATAGGCCGATATACAACCTCAGAAGAATTCCAGCCAACAAATCTGACCTTGTCCTTTTTGATTAAGCCAATGAATTTATTTATATCATTGAATTTTCTGTTCCTTTTGACAGCAACGTGATTGGCAAGATTTAGGAAAAGCATGCTAAATATGCGGACCTCGCCTTTGAAATGTCTCGCTTGCATCCTAAGTACACTGTCGTCAGACTCCCCATTGTTCTTGGTGCCCCTGGTTTGGTACCTCCTGATCTCTTGGCGCAGATCAAGAGAGTGACCGGGTTCTCCACCGTGAGCACAGCCCTTCTGAGCCCTTGGGGGATCAACATATTCTGCGGAAAGTGCTTGGTGGGTCCGACTAGGCAGCATTTCCTGGGAGAAGTCCCATTCGCTGTCTGGGCTGCATGTAGAGGGACTGAGGGCCCTGAGCTGATGATAAGCCTTACCAGCCTGACTGTGCCAGGATCACCCGAACCCTCTCTGCTGCATTTTCATCTTATTCTGTAAAACATAATAATAGTGGATTGCATTTATATAGCGCTATCTCCGAAAGGACTCATTGTTCATTTCTCATACAAAAATTGGACGGAAAAGTACACATTAAAGGAAAGCTTGTATAAATATCAAATATTTTACATGTACTCTGCATGTATACGGCTTATCAATTTGTTGAATCAACTAGTTTTGCATTAATTATTTTGAAGTTTATATTGGTTTAATACTTCAAAAATAAATTCTGAATATTCGTTTTCAAGAGCTCACCCCTTCACAATATAATGCACTCTTCCACCACAAATTTCCCTGCGTTGCGTTTGGGCGACTGATTTTAGCTAGTCGGAGAAACATGAAAGAATATTAAATACATCTGTATGCCAGGACATTTGTTTAATTAGTTGGAAAAAACATCCATAATATTTTCAATTGAGACACGCCAAATCTGATAACACAAATACTGTAAAAAGGTCTAGATGAAGGGACATTGAACATTAAAACCACTTAACCAAAAACATTTGGAATGCACTTCACAAACACAACTGAAAGCACATGCTTTATTATTCGTGCTCGAGATGGCAACTGAGTGGGATGACAAGATTGTTTTTTTTTGCAAGCCAGAATCTGGAAGTTATGTCCAAGGTTATTCAGAAGGAAATATTTCACGAGAGAATAATACTTTACCAACATATTCAGGTATCAGTGATAACACAAGTAAACGTTTTTCATATGTCATGACTGACAACGACTTGGTGGATAGGGCGAGGACTTCTGTGCCCAAGAACTCTAGTCGCACAAACAAGTGGGCACTGAATACATTTAAGCATTGGGCAGCCTGGCGAAACAACAACAGATTAAACCAACGGAAAATTATGTCTACGCTGGAGACATTGTAGGATTCCGAGTTGTTATATTGGCTCAGCAGATTCATACTGGAGGTGCACAAAGACAATGGTGAGCAGTATCCACCCTCTTCTCTTATAATGGAAATCCAGTCATACATTCCTACTGAAACCAAACGTCAGATCGACCTTTTGAACAGTGTTAACTTTGAAGAATTTCGCCAGATATTATATGTTTTCAGAAATGTTTGATGTTTCACTGCAAGATTGTTCTGACAGATGCGACAGTTTTATGGTATCTAATTCTAAATTAATCTTGTTGCGATTACTGAATGGTAATACATTGATGCTGACATTGCAGCACGTAAATCACGTGTATTTCTGAAATTTAAACTGAAATTTTGGACCAGTATAAACAAGAGCAATTTTTCAGTATGATACATTAATGGTGTCCAGACTGCTTTTTGGATGTGTTGGTGATTTCAAAAAATTTAATTTTAATTTTTTAATCAGGCGCTCACTCATATGAGTGAACCTCGGAAGAACAAACACTACAAGTCTGCAGACTGCTGGACACTTCACTGAAGAAAGGGCAAGACAAAGATGCTGAAGATGCGAAGGATGGACTAAAGCCCAATTCAACTGTCATATCTACTTCTACAGGCCCTGCCGCAGGCGACTTCACAATTTATCCTGGTTCTTTTATATCGGCTGCCAACTGTGTCATAAATGTGAATGTAGTTCACAAGTGATCATGCTACTGACATATAAAATTTAAACCCCCCCAACAAATCTGACTTTTCTAGTTTATATTTAAAGAAACTGAATTTTTTTCCAGCACTTTTCCTTTTCCTGGTGAAATTTACGGAGGTTTTTCAAAATATTTCTAAATATTTAGAAACCCTGACATACTTTACCGAGGAAGGATACTGAAGAACCGAGGCGAAGCCAAGGTATTAAGTATCCGGACAAGGATGCAGCAAAGTTCAATGACTATCGACCAATGTTGACGTCATCCGTAGGGCGATATCCATATATCCCTGATCACCTTAGGGCGATATGGCTGATGAACGTTTATTCACTTAATAGGCCATATCATGACGAGGTGTACATTTTCAAATAACGGCATCTGATGGGCATCCCCCATTCTTAATGTCCTACTGTTTAGGTTGAAGAAATTCTGCCAAGGTGGACAGTAGCCCAGTCCCAGTGTCCGTCTTGGTCGAGGGGGCAGGGAGTGACCAGCTTGCAGCTAGGTTTCGTAATTAGACTGTTGGCACGAAACATTAATCTCTCTGGATCAGTGCCCATTTAAGAGGCAGACATTGAAACCCAACAAACCTGCATCTTGATGAATTAGCTACCCAAGAGTGAAAATGGAGGTAAAAGGGATTGCTGGAAACTATGTTTGATTTAGGTTGAGTCAGGAGATCTTGGATTTTCTGGCAGTTTGTCAGATTGTTCCATTAACAATTGAAATGATGATGGGTACCAAGCCCTGTTTGTTTGTCTCTTTACCATATTCATGACAATGTCTAGGAGGGAATATGTAGCCAAGTAGATCCAAAGTGCTGCTGACTTGGGCCCTGTCAAATGGAATCATTCGCCTTGGATACAAGGCCTGGATGATGACAAAGTGGTAGCTTGTATATGGTCTTTACAACCTCCAGTAACCTGTGGTCTGATGTGATCAACTTCCACTTTCCTCCAGATAACTGAGCCTACCATCTGTTATCGGAGTTCAATTGAGGTCTGTCAGCAAAGAAAGTTCAAAAATGATACGGAGAAACAGGGGATTCTGGTGAATATTCTTTGCATCTACCTCTGGGATTCCTCCTTGGCACTGGAAAAACTGGAAAGAGGATCTACCATTCCACGAGGATGGAATAAAATAAAACTGTCCAGACTGAATATGATTTCCTGGGGTCAGATCCCATCTTTTAGATTCAGAAAGGCTCTAGCAAGACTGGATCTACTTTTTGGCATCCCAACTGACCTTGTCGACAACTGAAACTAGTTCATTGTTGAAGAACTTCCAGGAAGCAGTAGCTAGAGATAAGACTGATTTCCTCAATGGACCTGCAGGCATAAACTTGATTAAGATAGGATGAATTATGTGGCAAACTCTGCCAACAAACCAGTTTACGTATGCTCCTGTGGTAAGTATGTGCCTCTTAACAAGATCAACACTGTCAATAAACAATAAATCTTTAACTTACCAATGATGTCTGTTTTTCGTTGCTCTTGAGGTTTTTGAATGCTTTTTTCCACATGCCCTTGATAGCTGATGACGACTGTGAGTGTTTCATATCAGACTCTTCCTCTTGTTGGTCAACTCCCTCCACAACCGACCCATTCTGCTTCGGCATGACCATGTCCATCTGTACATACAACACACACACTGTACATGCATATATAGTGAAGGGTCTGTGTCAAGATGTCCATCTGTACATACAACACACACACTGTACATGCATATATAGTGAAGGGTCTGTGTCAAGATGTCCATCTGTACATACAACAATGTACATGCATTATATACTTTATAAGTTGTTCACTGGTCACGAGAGGGACATAAACAAACATAGAGTATCTATGTATCTCTATATATACACACTTGGAATATTGGCAATTCCAAATGACCAATGAACATAACTTAGCAAATTAAAAGCCACCTGACCATGTGGGTAATCCGAAATAATTGTCCTGTTTTACTCCATAGTTAATGCGGAAATCAAGTTTTCTATAAATTTAAAATTTAAACATATTCATGTCTTTACTGATCCAAAACGTTAATAAACTGATACACTTTCAATTCAAAACAATTTTACACATAATAGAGCACACTTGTACTAGTTCAGTGCATAATTTCGAACTGCAGAATCGGAAAATCCATTCCAGTTTAGTAGCACCCATTAGAGAGGCGTGTTCAGTAACAGTACCGCGATTGCTGAGCATACATGTTATACCGTCTTCGTAATCGCTGTGCGAACCAAGGCACGCTTATGGATCCTGGCCTTGCAGTGGCATTTTTGAACAAGTTTTAAACATGGAAACAAGTTGGATTTGGACTGGGCTAAGGATTGGTGAATTTCTTGGCTTGAGTGCATATTACCGTGCACAACCCACATGGCTAGTTGCAGAGCAATTATCGCACCCTAGCACTGTCTCCCCTTCACTGCCAGTCTACATTCCTTAGGGTTAGGTTAGGGTTTAGGGTTAGGGTATGGCACCCTTTCTGATATTTAGGGAGCTGACACATCTTTAGCGGCAAACAATCCTTTACGATCCTTGAAGGGGTAGGATTCACATGACTTTTGCAAATAAGCGGGGGACTGGGGGATATGTCATCTTTTGATGCCTTGTTACCATCCGCCATAAAATAGAAACAATATATAGGACCATGTATCCTCCGTCTGTCACTAGTACATCATGTCCAGACATGGTTAGACACAACAAAGATCTTTGATATGACATGTCATACACTGGAGATGAGAGTACCGTATTTGCGATGCGAGTACCAATCTTTAATAGAAGCAAGTCTCTAAAAGAGAGAGGTATGGTCATCGTGATGCTCTTGAAATCAGCTTCACCCCTCAAATCATCTCACATCCTTCTCACTAAATTTCTTAATTTATTCAGGTGCCTCCAATGTTGCCTTTTTAAAGGCTTTTCTTGTTTTTATGACAGATATATAGTATTTTCTTGTTTTTATGCCAGATATATAGTATTTTCTTGTTTTTCTTGTTTTTATGACAGATATATAGTATTTTCTTGTTTTTATGACAGATATATAGTATTTTCTTGTTTTTATGACAGATATATAGTATTTTCTTGTTTCTATGACAGATATATAGTATTTTCTTGTTTCTATGACAGATATGCAGTTGAACCATCTGCAGTTGGAGCAAGTGTCTGTGATTATCTGGTGAACAGCCACTGACTGTAACACAGCCCTGTCAAGTCCACCTGCAGGCAATAACCAGGCACGTCTAGCTTGCAACAACATCCTCACTAGCCTTGGTTGCTTCACCTTAACATGACCAAAGTCTTCTTTAATGATGCAGCTAAGCTATTTCACAGATGTGCAGCAGAATTACATGATGGTGTGTAGGTGCCATAGGAATTCACCATATGCTTGGAGCAATCTCATACTCTTTGTATACATTGATATACAACCTCCAACACAATATGAATGATAGCACTTGACTTGAACTGAAGACCACAACAAGTATCAAATTCCTTATATCTGTTTTACATAGTTGGGAAATAGGTACACCATACCCCTGCCTTGTGTTGATGTAGATAAAGGTATTCTCTACCCTTGTCTTGTGTTGATGTAGATATAGGTATTCTCTACCCTTGTCTTGTGTTGATGTAGATATAGGTATTCTCTACCCCTGCCTTGTGTTGATGTAGATATAGGTATTCTCTACCCCTGCCTTGTGTTGATGTAGATATAGGTATTCTCTACCCCTGCCTTGTGTTGATGTAGATATAGGTATTCTCATACACACCCCTGCCTTGTGTTGATGTAGATATAAGTATTCTCTACCCCTGCCTTGTGTTGATGTAGATATAGGTATTCTCTACCCCTGCCTTGTGTTGATGTTGATATAGGTATTCTCTACCCTTGTCTTGTGTACCCTTGTCTTGTGTTGATGTAGATAAAGGTATTCTCATACACATACCCTAGCCTTGCGTTTATGTAGATAAAGGCATTCTCATACACATACCCTAGCCTTGCGTTTATGTAGATAAAGGTATTCTCATACACATACCCCTGCCTTGTGTTGACGTAGATATAGGTATTCTATACCCTTGCCTTGTGTACCCTTGTCTTGTGTTGATGTAGATATAGGTATTCTCATACACATACCCTAGCCTTGCGTTTATGTAGATAAAGGCATTCTCATACACATACCCTAGCCTTGCGTTTATGTAGATAAAGGTATTCTCATACACATACCCCTGCCTTGTGTTGACGTAGATATAGGTATTCTATACCCTTGCCTTGTGTACCCTTGTCTTGTGTTGATGTAGATAAAGGTATTCTCTACCCCTGCCTTGTGTTGATGTAGATATAGGTATTCTCTACCCTTGCCTTGTGTACCCTTGTCTTGTGTTGATGTAGATATAGGTATTCTCTACCCCTGCCTTGTGTACCCTTGTCTTGTGTTGATGTAGATATAGGTATTCTCTACCCCTGCCTTGTGTTGATGTAGATATAGGTATTCTATACCCTTGCCTTGTGTACCCTTGTCTTGTGTTGATGTAGATAAAGGTATTCTCTACCCCTGCCTTGTGTTGATGTAGATATAGGTATTCTCTACCCCTGCCTTGTGTACCCTTGTCTTGTGTTGATGTAGATATAGGTATTCTCTACCACTGCCTTGTGTTGATGTAGATAAAGGTATTCTCTACCCTTGCCTTGTGTACCCTTGTCTTGTTCTGATGTAGATATAGGTATTCTCTACCCTTGCCTTGTGTACCCTTGTCTTGTTCTGATGTAGATATAGGTATTCTCTACCCTTGCCTTGTGTACCCTTGTCTTGTGTTGATGTAGATATAGGTATTCTCTACCCCTGCCTTGTGTTGATGTAGATATAGGTATTCTCATACACATACCCTTGCCTTGTGTTGACGTAGATATAGGTATTCTCATACACATACCCTAGCCTTGTCTTGATGTAGATATAGGTATTCTCATACACATACCCTAGCCTTGTGTTGATGTAGATAAAGGCATTCTCATACACATACCCCTGCCTTGTGTTGACGTAGATATAGGTATTCTCATACACATACCCCTGCCTTGTGTTGACGTAGATATAGGTATTCTATACCCTTGTCTTGTGTACCCTTGTCTTGTGTTGATGTAGATATAGGTATTCTCTACCCCTGCCTTGTGTTAATGTTGATAAAGGTATTCTCATACACATACCCCTGTTATTACCTTGCTTGTGTTGTAGATGTCCACAGCACCTACTACAACGTCTGGGCCACGCTGTTAGAGTGCTGGACACTCCTGGCAACTACATTCCTCACATTCCCTGCCTAATAACTCAACAATCAGTCACAATTAACTCTAAATTACTGAAAACATATTTAGGATGTCGCATTTAATATCAATATGTCAAAACCCCTTATGCAAGTTAGATTATTACGATTAGGTCAAGGTGTCCACCAGAGATGTCTGACTATCTCTTGCCAGGTCAGGACTGGACCTTGAGCGACTGATGTGCACCAGTTATCATGTACGAACACTTCAGGATGAAATAATCCATTTGTGGTGACCTTGTTTCTCAAAAGGCCATGAAGTATAAATAGTTTAACATAATGACAGCAGACTAAATAAATGATTCCTACTTTGTCAATTGTACACATATTCAGTCACATTGTCTAATCAGAGCTTTGTTAACAGACAATTTGAGGGACTATATATATTTCGTGTTTCATTTGTTGATTGCTACTGTCAAGATCCGAGGTTGAGGTTGGGTGATGGATGTGTTCTGATCTTTAACATAGAAAGTCTTGACTTTTTGTTTTATGTTTTGTTAAAGTCTTTCTATTTGTTATCCTAAAGTTCCCAACAGCTGCTTTGACATCTCTGTTTAAGACCAAATGGGTACAGGCAAGAGATTCCTTCTGATGGAGACAGAAGAGGAGAGGTTTGGTGGTGTTGAGGGAGGTTAACATCACACAACCGGACTGTAACAACAGCAATGACTGATCTGTGTACAAGCTAATTTTCCTGATGGTAGAGTAAAACATTTTCTCAGATTAGTATATCTCTTCATCTTAATTTAATCCCATAATTACTACAAGACAAATCTTATGGATAACAACTTCTTCATTTATTATTTACACAACGTTTCTGGGCTAGTTATATAGTCCCATAATCCCATAATTACTCCAAACAAAATATGCTCTTAACTGTCTGGCGTAAGAATATAATCTTCCATGATGACATCCTAGAGATCCTAAAACAGGGAGGCCTTAACCAACTGACAGGACAGTTTGAGCCTTCTCTGGTCATATACTTCCATTGTGGGGGTTAGTGTCCATCTGAGAAGTAGTGAGCCTAGGCTTCATCCAGTACAATTACCTTGGACAGCCAAGTCAAGACACAAACAATAGCCAATCTAGCATTAGGGTAGGTGCTTTTGGGTCACCAACACAACAACCACTACCATTATGTGCTGACATAGCTCTCCTTGTAGATTATCTTCTTGTATTAGGTACACTTATACATATTGCAATCCATCCACTTAACTAAAGCACAATTAACAACCTGGAGATTTCAAATCTAAACTGAAGACATACCTTTTTGAGAAAACATACAGTGTCTAACTTTTCATTCTCAAGTTGTTCGGAGTGT